TGCGCCCGGCCAAACAATGTAATTCTTAACTTTCTGTATGTGGTCATAGTGATTCATCACATATCTTACAAATGCTGGAGACATAATTTAATAAAATTCCTATATAATAAGTTAACATATACTATGGAATGAATTGTGCCTCTACCCCAAATTCATATGTTTAAGACCTAACTCCTCAATGTGATGATATTTGAAGATAGAGCCTTTGGGAGATAATTAGGTTTAAATGAGGACCCAACACTGGGTCCTTCATGATGGGATTAATGTCCTTATAATAAGAGGAAGAAATACCAGAGCCCACTCTGCCCTCTGAGGACACAGAGAGAAGGCAGCTTTCTGCAAGCCAAAAAGAAGGCCTTCACCAGGAACCAAATCATCTGGCATCTTGCTCTTGGATTTCCCAGCCTCCAGAACTTTGAGAAATAAATGTCTATTGTTTAAGCTACCCAGACTATGGTATTTTGTTATAGCAGCCCAAGCAGATTTTGGTACAGAGCCGAATATAGCAGCCTAATACAGATTTCGGTACAGAGAAGTGAGGTGCTGCCATAACAAATACTTGAAAATGTGGAAATGGCTTTGGAACTGAATAAAGAGTAGAGGCTTGAGGTGCATGCTAGAAATATGGATGTTAGGGCAATTCTGGTGAGAGCTCCCAAGGAAATAAGGAACATGTTATTGGAAACTGGAGGAAAGATGAACTTTGTCGTAAAGTGGCAAAGAACATGGACAAACTGTGTTCCAGTGTTTGGTAGAAGGTAGAACTTGCAAGCAATGAAGTTGGAAATTTAGCTGAGATTTCTAAGCGAAGTGTTGATGTAGTGGCTTGCTTATAGTAAAATGTAAAAGGGAGATGAACTGAAAAAAGAATCATTAATCAAAAAGGAACCAGAACTTGAAGATGTAGAAAGTTCTAAACCTATCCATATTGTAAAAATGAGAAAGCTTGTTCTGAAGAAAACACCAAGGGTATGGATAAACAGCCATTTGGTAAAGAGATCATGAGCGCAACTCATAGACAAAATCACCCATTTCAAGAGAAGTCAGGAATAGAGATGGAATTCTACCAGCAAAGACACTGTCACTTTGAACTAAAGGGGCCAGAAAAAACAAGATGAGATGAAGGCAAGCTGTCTGACTTCTTATATCCTACAGGACCAGACCATAGAGCTATTTAAGGCAGTTCAAAGATCATCAGGGCCATCAGGGCCACTACCTCCATTTCAACAGGCCAGATAGCCTCCAGCCAAAGCCTTGGAGGCAGTACAACCCTGCAGAGCCTGGGGACCAAGTCAGCCATGTGGAACCTTGAGAGTTGGGCCACCCAAATCCTTCAGGGCTCTACTCTCACCTGGGTTGAGGAAAGACCTCCATTCCAGTGGGTCCAGAAGGCAGAGTATCAAATGAAAGAAGATTATTCTTGAGATTTAAGATCTAAGGGAATTTACCTTGCTGAGTTATGGGCTTTCTTGACATCCGTCACTCTTTCCTTATTTCCTATTTCTCCCTTTTAGAATAGAAATGACTATCCTATGCCTCTCCCACCAATGTATTTTGGAAGCACATAACTTGTCTGATTTCATAGGTTTACAGCTGGAGAGGAGTTTTGCCTCAGGATGAATCATACCTCAAGTCTCATCCATATCTGATTTATATATTTAGATGAGAGTTGATTTTAGATTGAGTTAAAGCTTTGGGGGCTGTTGGAATGGAATGTATTTTGCATGTGAGAAGAACATGAATTTGGGGGGCTGGGGTAAAATGCTGTGGACTGAACTATATCCCCAAAATTCGTATTTTGAAGCCCCATGACGATCCCCTCTCCCATCAAACCCTAATTACTTTCCAAAGGCTCCATCTCCAAATACCATCACATTGGTAGTTAGAGTTTCAGTATATGAATTTTGAGGACAAACAGTTCAGTCTATAGCAAATGCTATATTTGTATTTCAAATTAAGTGATTTGAATTTAATTACTTTTTGTCGCCATCCAAACCCTCTTGCCACTCCCCAAATCAGAGCTGGGACAGATTAATTAAAATGTCATACCCAATGTCAGTCCCTCATCCTGTGTCCAGCAACCAATTTTCAGAAACTGTCAGGCTCTACACTGCTCTTGTTGTTTGGTCTTTCTACATTACTCAGAGCTACTCTATCATTTTCTATGATCTTCTTTTCACTTTAATCCCCTGGGGAGGATTTTTCCTCTGCAACACAAGGAGCTTCTCTTACCAGCATAGCTTTTGAAATTACTGAGGCATATACATTTCCTGGCTTTGGCATCTCTCTTGCCTCCACACTAGTCTAGTTCTGGATCAGAATGTAGAACAACAGGTCCTGGCATGACTCTAAGTAGACAGCCAAAATAGAAGTGCAAACAGTTGCCAGCATTACTCCTCTTAAGCACAAGCTGCTTTTAGGTCGAAGGTCCAGCAAATGTATCCGGGAGGGGACACACCAAGGGCCACCACACCTGGATTTACAATTTCCTTAGAAGTTTGAGCAAAAGAACACCATTACCCTTATATCTGAGTACATATATATGTGTGTGTACATAAGAGACAGATTTAGTGATTGAGGTAATAATAAAAATATTCACTTTAATTTTTATGGCTTTCTATAACTTAATAGAACCATTAGTAGCAGAAAATTCATTCCTGAAAGATACATTCAGGAAATAAGTGTGGGGATGGGGAAGGTGGGTGGGGGAAAGAACTAAAGCTACAAGAGAAAAATAGACAAAATGTCATTATTTCAAATTTTTTTTTTTTTTTTTTTGAGACAGAGTCTCACTCTTTTGGCCGGGCTAGAGTGAGTGCCATGGCATAAGCCTAGCTCACAGCAACCTCAAACTCCTGGGCTCAAGTGATCCTTCTGCCTCAGCCTCCCGAGTAGCTGGGACTATAGGCATGCGCCACCATGCCTGACTAATTTTTCCTATGTATTTTTAGTTGGTTGATTAATTTCTTTCTAATTAGTAGAGGCGGGGTCTCGCTCTTGCTCAGGCTGATCTCGAACTCAAACAATCCGCCTGCCTTGGCCTCCCAGAGTGCTAGGATTACAGGCGTGAGCCACCGCGCCCGGCCCTTATTTCAAATTTCTTTAATTCTGAACTTGTGATAACTTGATTAGGGCCTGGTTTGAAATTTACCTTGACTTGGAAAACTGTTTTTTGTAATAAGTACTGTAAATGAAATCACAAAGGAGAAATGTTTACTTTTTTTTTTTTTTTTTTAGTTTTTCCTATTTTATTAGCATACTCAGCTATAAGGGAGAAATGTTTAAATGGAGAGAAAATATTTTCAAAATACCCTCAAGGACTTTACAAACACCCATGAATTAAAATTTTTGTAATATGAATTATAGGACATTAGGCATAATACTAATCCAAAATCATATAAAGTAATCCTATGCTTTTTCCCATGCATTAAAGGTGGTCTAAGAACCCTCTACTATGCAGAAAAACGTATTTCACTTTTAAGTATTCCTAATTTACATTCATCTAGTTCTGAAATGGTGAGATTTTGTTATAAACTTGTAATGATTAATAAAATGAACAAGTTACAAAATAAAAATTAAATAAAATCCGTAAGCTGGTATATATCTTAAATATATAAAAATATGTAATATTTGGTTGCTTCTTAAAATCTGTGCGTAGTGATTTATTTTGGAAATGATTGAGAATACTAAGTTAATTTTCAATCTCTATTCTTTATAAAATATCCTTTTTCAGGAACCGAAGTAAAAAAAATTGAAGCTATAAACGTTCCTTGTACACAGCTTTCAATGTCATTTTTTAACCGGTTATATGATGAAGATATTGTACGAGACAATGGACATATTGTTAAGTGTTTAGATTCTTTTTGTGATCCATTTCTCATTTCTGATGAGTTACGAAAAGTAAGTACAGAATTTTAAAATTTCACAGTGGAATTTTATGTCAGGAAATGCAAAATGTCATACCTCTTGTTAATAAATAATGGTCAATAATAATCATTTCGCTGGTAGATTTCTTCTTAGCACTTTTACTATCAACTTAATTATTTGTGTATTTCAGTAGTTCTCTAGTTCTCAAATGGGTGCTACTAACTATGATGGGTAGAGATGCTGCTAAACTCAGAGGACAGTCCCTCAACAAAGTTATCTGGCCCAAATGTCTACAGTGCGGAGGTATAGAAATCCCGACTTATGTTTAATGGCTATTTTCTTCCATATGGGGCTCTTAACATATAAAATGAATATTTTTGTATGTATTAATTTACTTTAAATGTGTTTCAAGTATGTGCCTGAATGACAAGGCTGAGTACCAGAAATGTACCCCAAAAAAGCAAACTCAAACCAGAGTTAACCTCACATGATCTTGAAAAATGTGACACTAGATTAATACTATTGTTTTTGCCCACCATGGTTGATGGAAAGGAGGTTATTTACATATTCAAATGAATATTATAAACATCCTTGGAGTTAAAGAATCTTTTTATCTCGTTGCTGAAATCAACAAAGCCATTGATTAGCTATATTAAATTTTGTTTTAATGAAAGGTACACTGAACTTAGAATCAGAATATGTGGATATTATTACCTTATTCCTAATTACCTTACCTTATTCCTAATTTATGATTTACAAGATAATAACCTTGGCAAATCATTCAATCTCGTGAGCCTCAGGATCTTATCTGTACAACATGGAGATGAAAATGCCCATTCTATCTTTTTCCTAAAATCATTGAGAAAATGAGTTGAAGCACTTAAATGCACTTTTTAGAAAGTATGAAATGTTGTTAAAATTAAATGTATTATTAACGTTATTATTATAGTTACTGAGAGTATTAAAAGTGGTTAAAAATGTGTGCTTTGGCATCAAATAAACATAGGTTCAAATCCAGGCTTTGTCTCTTAATAACTGTGATGCTTAACCTCTCTAAGCATCAGTTTCTTCATCTATAAAATAACCATAATGTGAGAATTACGTGAGATAATGCATTTAAAGTGCTTAGCACAGTGCCTTGCATTTAGTAAATTTTCCATAATATTAACTACTACCACTAACTACTGCTACTATTATTATTCTCCTCCATTAAAAGAGAAGGGAGATGTACAAGTCTAATATATTGCAAATCTAGATAGGAATGAACTAGGAAAGCTGCTGATCTACCATTCTGGGCACAGGAATCTTGTTTGTAGGAGAAAGGGAGACATCTAGCCAGTTTATACATTTATCTACACTAGGGCAATATCTAAAAGTACTCTTTAATTTAGTTTAAGAAGAAAGCAAAATTAACTGAGAATAACCAAACACACACAATTGAATGAGATTACATATAGTTTGCTCTTTAAAGGAGGTATATTTGTATGTAACATGAGATAATATACATGCTATCCAGTGGGGGTCTGACGTTAATTTCTACTCCTCCTCACCAAGAATTAGAAATTACCATTCAGGAAATGTTTGGTCTGGGTTTCCCTCCTTTTGGGTACTGGTAGTGTCAGCTCTTCCCTCTTTTTCTCACTGTTCTGCTCTGGCGTAAGGGTCTGAAGACCCTTACCGTTAATTTCAGATAATTCATCATCCCTTCTACAGGAAGAGCCTCTTCAATTTATTTTTACAGAGAGTATTTGTTTCCCAACAGAATACTCTGTAAAGTTTTGCCCACTTTTTAATGGGATTAATCAGTTTTTTGCTGTTGAGTTCCCTTTATAGTCTGCATATTAGTCCCTTGTCAGATTAATAGTTTATAAATATTTTCTCCCATTCAGCAGGATGTCTTTTCACTCTGTTGATTGTTTCCTTTGCTGTACATACTTTTTAGTTTAATATAGACACATTTGTCTATTTTTTGTGTGTGTTGCCTGTGCTTTTGAGGTCTTAGCCATATATTCATTGCCTAGACCAATATCCTGAAGTGTTTCCCCTATGTTTTCTTCTAGTAGTTTTATAGTTTCAGGACTTATGGTTAGATCTGATCCATTTTGAATTGATTTTTGTATATGGTGAGAGGGATCTTGTTTCATTCTTCTGCATTTGGATATTCCATTTTCCTAACATCATTTATTCAAGAAGATGTCCTTTCCCTAATGTATGTTCTTGGTGCCTTTGTCAAAAATCAGTTGGCTATAAATATGTGGACTTATTTCTGGGTTCTTTATTCTGTTCCATTGGTCTATGTGTCTGTTTTTATACCAATACTATGCTGTTTTGGTTACTGTAGCTTTGTAATATAATGTAAAGTCAGGTATTTAGGTCATTAAATATGAAATGTCCAATTTCAAATTAAAAGTTCAGTTTATTATATCTCAAATGAGAAGCAGTACAATTAATCAAAGTATGTGCCTGAACTATCACCACAGTTTTGCCATCTTAATGGTAGCTTATTTATGCCAGCAGCAAAGAAGCCTGGAAAGCAAGTGGTGATGAAATTGTGCAAGGCGTTTTCCACAGCTTGTTGAGAATTGAATGTTTTTCCTTGCAAGAAGTGGTCCAAAGCCTGGAAGAAGGGGTAGTCAGTTGGTGCAAGGTCTGATGAATACGGTGGATGAGAGAGAGTTTCCAAGTCCAGCTGCTGTAATTTGAGCAGCGTTGTTTGTGTGACATGTGGTCAAGCATTGTCTTGCAAGAGAATTGGCCTGTCGCTATTGACCAATCTCGGCTGCTTAATCACAAGCGTCCTGATCATTTTGTCCAATTGGTTGCAGTAGACATCTGCTGTAATCGACAGATCAGGTTTCATGAGGCTGTAGTGGCTAATACCAACGCTGGACCAACAAACAGATGCCATTAACTTTATTTGATGAGTAGTCGGTTTTAGACTGTGTTTCAGCATTTCATGTTTATCCAGTCATTGTGCTGAATGCTTGAGATTCTGAAAAAGAATCCGTTTTTTGTCACACATAACAATAGAGTGTAAAAATTGTTCACTTTTATATCATGACAGCAAAGAAAGACAAGCTTCAAGAAGCTTTCTCTTCTGACGCTTGTTTAATTCATGCAGTACCCATCTATTCAGCTTCTTTACCTTGCCCATTTGTTTCAAATGGCCCAATCTTGTTGGAATAGTAACGTCAGACCTTGCTGCTAATTCACGCGTAGGTTGAGATGAATTGGCTTCCACTACAGCTTTCAGCTCATCGTTACCCACCTTGGTCTCAGGTCACCCACATGGTTCATTTTCAGGATTAAAATCAACAGAATGGAACTTTTCAAACCATCGACATACTGTGCATTCATTAGCTACATCCTTCCCAAACACTTCGTTAATATTTTGAGCTGTCTGCACTGTGTTGGTTATAAGAGGGAACTCATATTTGAAAATAACTTGAATTTTTGACTTCTCTATGGTTTCACAAAAATTTCTCTAAAAAAAATTTGAAAGATAATCACAAGCCAAACCATGCATTTGAAAGAGTGAGAATGTACCTTCACAATAAAAATAAAACAAGCAGTGTCGAAGTGAAATGTCAGAGATACCAACTGTCAAACTTAGTACCTAAGGAAATCAGACATTTCATACTTAATAACCTAATAGTATGATGCCTCCAGCTTTGTTCTTTTTGCTCAGAATTGCTTTGGCTATTCAGGCACTTCCTTGGTTCCATATAAATTTTAGGATTGTTTTTTAATATTTCTATGAAAAATGACATTGGTATTTTGATAAGGATTACGTTAATTCTATAGATTACATGTGGCCATTTTTTAATAATAGTCTTCTGATCCATGAGCATGGGATGTCTTTCCATTTGTTTGTGTCCTCTTCAATTTCTTCCAACAATGTTTTGTGGTTTTTCTTGTAGAGGTCTTTCACCTGCTTGGTTACATTTATTGTAGGCATTTTATTACTTTTTGTAGCTATTATAAATGAGATTGCCCTCTTTTTTACTCTTTGGAAATGCTACTGATTTTTGCCTGTTACCTTTTTACCCTGCAACTTTATTGACTTTATCAGATCTAAGAGTTTGTTGGTGGTATCTTTAGGTTTTCTTAATATAAGATCATGTCATCTGCAAACAGGGTCAATTTGACTTCTTATTTTTCAATTTGGATGACTTTTGTTTCTTTCTCTTGCCTGATTGCTCTGGCTGGGACTTCAGTACCCTGCTGAATAGGAGTGGTTAAAGTGGGTATCCTTGTCTTGTTCCAATTCTTAGAGAAAAGCTTTCAGCTTTTCCTCATTCAGTATGATGTTAGCTGTGGATTTATTATATATGGCCTTTATTGTGTTGAGGTATGTTCCTTCTATGCTTAGTTTGTTGAGTTTTTATCATGAAAAGATGTTGAATTTTATAAAATGCTCTTCCTGAGTTTCTTGAGATAATACTGTTTTTGTCCTTCATTCTGTTAATGTGATGTATCTCGTTTATTGATTTGCATATGTTGACCCATCCTTGTATCCTTGGGATAAATCCCACTTGATCCTGGTGTATTATCTTTTTGATGTTCTGTTGGATTTGGTTTGCTAGTATTTTGTTAAGGTTTTTTTGCATTTATGTTCATCAGGGATATTTACTTGTTGTTTTATTTTTTGTTGTGTCTTCTTCTGGCTTTGGTATCAGGGTAATACTGGCCTCATAGAATGAGTTAGGGAGAATTCCCTGCTCTTCAATTTCTGGAATAGTTTGAGGAAAATTAGTGTCTGTTCTTGTTTATAGACTTGGTAGAATTTATCAGTGAAGCCATCTGATCCTGAGCTTTTCTTTGTTGGGAGACTTTTTATTACTGATTCAATCTCATGACTCATTATTTGTCTGTTCAGGTTTTCTATTTCTTCCTCATTGAATCTTGGCAGGTGATATGTGTCCAGAAATTTATCCATTTCCTCTAGGTTTTCCAGTTTGTTAGCATATATTTGTTCATAACAGTCTCTGATGATCTTTTGTGTTTCTGTGGTATCAATTGTGATGTCTCCT